GTTGATGTTAACTGGGAAATTCATCAAAAGAATGGATGAACTTTTACAAGATTGAAAAATATTATTCAACCTTAAATTGAGTCGCTAAAAAATGCGTTAGGAAGATCTTTGAGAATGACATAAGTACCTAAAACATATAATATACAAATAAAGCTCTTTAAAATCCCTTGCATAACTATAAACAGATAAAATTTGAAATCTCAATTTTGGAAAAGTTGCTGTGACAAGAAATGAGATGTAATGGCTATTATGCCTTGCAAATGATAATTAAGTAATATGATTTTGTCGAAGATTATTTTTTCCAAGTGTTGTACAGTGCCAGACCATTTATGAAATCTTAAGATTTTATAAATGATTGAAAAAATTTAGCGACATTCTGATATAGAATTAGTAACCTACATTAAACATATTTTGAAAAAGCGAATATTCATGATGCTATTCTTCTTTCACGACTATGTAACAGATCTCTGAAGATCTGAGAAACTTACTTAAGAATATGGTTCGATCGATTCGATTAACTCCTAGTAGGCGCTTTTTTACAATGGAATCTTGAAACCCTGGCTGTCTTTTTGTTTTATTTCTACTGTAATCAATCGATGATAGTAAATAGTAAATTATAAAGAAAAACATTCTTTCATAGATTGATCATATTAAAGTAAAAGTTTAATAAAATATTATGTTGAAAATTCATACGAAAGCGTACTTAAAAGTCTATTCAACTCTTTCTTTTACAATTCATAATTAACTAAATCTGATTAAAACCCCATCTAGACACACGCTTGCCTTCATCTTTACTGTTGACATACTCAATTATACAGCCAAAGTCCATAACATCAATATTTGAGCATACTTTTTTAGCACTTTGAGTTGAAAATGTGAAAGCTGGTCTCGCAAATGCTACGAATTAAAGCGTTGTAGCTTGATTTTATTTAACCAGCATGGTAGTTTTTTTCTCTCCACTCTTTTCTCCACTTTTAGAAACTTTAAAAATAATAAATGCATCATAAAACTCTATCATCAGTACGAACTTCCGAAAGCTATGCTAATGCTTTCAAAGAAGTATCAAGCTATAAATACCCAACAACAAGGTCATTGATATCTTTGGAAATTCGTTTGTGATGTCTATTAGGAGAAGTGACGAATAAAGTTTTGTTATAGGGAGAGTTAATTTTGTTTTATACGTAAAAGAATTGAAATCATCAGTTCGAAGTAAATAATACTTAGTCTACGAAATATGTTATCAAATATTACAATTATGAATAAGCGATTAATAAATAAGACAGATATCTTCGAAAAACAGAAGTTTTCCATTAAACTGATTTGTCAATAGATGATAAAAACGAATGAATAATATTTTATGGTTGGAGAAACTTGCAATTTTCCTTCATCAAAAGTGATCGATGCTTTCAATATTTCTTCAATATGATTTTAGTCAACGAAGAATGACTTTTTTCCTTGTGGAAGCCCGTTTTCAGAAACCCACGATGAAATACAATAAAACATCTAAAATTCTACTATCGAAATGATACAACATGGGTCACAGTTGCAGTGTTGAATTGAGTCAATTTGATAGATAGAGGAAAAAAGGATGAAATCTGAATGTATTATGGTACTTTTTATTTTCATCCATAAAATCTGAAACAACATAAATTACCTGAATGTCAAGGGTATTCTTAAATAACTTCAACAGCGAAAGAACTACAGTTATAGCTAGAAAAATTAGAATAAAAATATAAAAAATGTATAATAGCGAAAAATTTTCCATTCCTTGACAATTAAAACAAAATGGATTTCATTTTTCCGAGAGAAACGTTCTACAACAACGTAACATTAACATCAACAAACGAAGTGCTTTTTTTAAAGAGTATGGATGTGGATACTAAGGAAAATGTAACCTTGCCGATTATTCATCATGTTTCAATTAGTATTCGGTGACCTGAAGTGGCAAGCGGTGAAAGAATTACTACGTAATTTGAATATTTCGCTGTTATGCATGTCCATTGAATACGAACAAAAAAATTCACTTTGTATGAGATATTGCCGTGAATGTCGAAATGGAATGATGTGACGAATTGTTCATTTTTTAACACCCACGCAAAAATTCCATAGTTACCAGGTATATATCTTCTTTAAGAGACCCTATCCATCGTTTATTGATTTATTTCAAAATTATTTTCTTTTTTTTTCAGGAAACTATCCTTTATTTAAATAAAAAGAATCTATTACCAGCTTGATCATTTATCAATAACATGAAAAATGAATAAACAAAATAAAAATACCGCATATTTTCTTTGTTCTAAATAAGAGAAGGATATGAAAGTTATAGTTTATACTGTATCAGTAAGTGAAGCATTGATGATATTACTTTAGAGTAATGATTCATTTAATCAACGATTTTCGTTCAAAAAGAAACATGTATTCTATTATGAGAACTACCTCGAATATCATCAAACTTATATTTCATTCTCCGGTCACATCTGTATCATCGTCGAAACAATTGGGTTGAATTTGGATTGCTACTAAGATTCATGATAAAATCATTCAATAAATTAATAGCTGCAGTTTGACAAATTTGAAATAATTTTCACATTCGTATCTATTATTTATTAGATTACAGCATGGAAAGAAAACAATCTTTCTATTTAGTAATAGACCTCAAGATTAAGTTCTTTTATTGTACAGATAACTTCTTACATCGTATATTTTCCTAGCGTACTTTACTTCAAATCACAGAAAAAGCACAAGCATGTTCAATAGGAATCTGAAATAGGATTATTTTCAGTAAATAATGACTAGTGTCTGATTAAATTTCAATATGAATGTTTTTTCTTCATACTTGTGCAAATCCTTTTCTCTCATTTCGTAATTATCGATATATAAAATTTATAATGACTTTATTGATCTGTATTTGCATATTCTAAAAAGACTACAGATAAATAAAAATATATTCAAACTTCTTTTCTTTTGATTGAACAGTAAGCCAAATAATAAGAACGAATATTTGTCTTTTCATGATCTATAAGTAAAATATGTATCCGCATCGATGATGATCGTATTATTCTTCTTGAAAAAAATATTAAGATATCACTAATCAACATAGATGTTGATGTTTACTACTTGGAATATTTGAGCTTCTCTTTGTTAAACATTATGAAAATATTTATCAAGAAAATAAAGTCTCTGTTCAATTGATAGGCATTATTGCATGTTCTCGTTATTTATTTGTAAAGTGTATTTCTTCTTAATCTTCTATTGACTACTGGTTATCAATTTTATGTCACCAAGATATCAATTATCTTGTACTAGTTTATCTTCGAAAAAAAACTTCTCTTGAATGTACCATAAGATTTGATAGCACCTACAAACAAATCTATTCAATCACAAAAGTCATTGGTTTTTGGTATTATTCCATCATGTCTTATGGGATTTGAGAGTGGAATGACAATCTATGACATGAAAAATGTATGTTTACTTTCAAGAATCGTTGTATTTCATTGTCGAACAAAAATTCAACTTGGTTGAATGGTTCTAGTTCATATCTAATATTGATTTTATCAAATTCATTCAAAGTTACATTGAGATTTCAATTTATGTATTTAATATGCCCCATTTTCTTTTATTGATTCTGTGTTATGGGTTTGTTCTCATATTTTCTTTTCGGCTGACATATATATCGAAAGAAATATATTCGATTAGTATATCACACAAGTCGAATTTATCGTGAAATTCATTTTCAGTTATCAAGAACTGAAAATAGTATTCAACCCATAGTTACTTTTAATACTGCACTAACTGTATCATATAAATCTAAAAGATTTTAGGAACTTGATAGAACATAGGTTTATTCAACAAACAGACTTTTATTTAATTATGCAATTGAAATATTGAAGAAGATAAATCATTGAGAGAATTTTGACTTGTGTTCCTGACATGGCTCTATTCTCCACTTTTTATATCATAGGACACCTAATACCAATTTCAAATTTATTATAAGAAAAGTAGAACTAATCCGTTTTAAAGAAAGATCTGTCAATGATCGACATTTTTTATCATACTTGAGTCCAATAATAAACTTGTTTGATCGAATGTATGGAAAATGAAATTGGAATTAATCTGTAACTAGATTAACAAATAACTTCAATATAATGTTTCTTCAAGTGATCTTATCGATCTTGATCAACGAGATTTTCAACTGATTTTCATTGATCATTTGTTTGTTTGTTTGTTTTTATCTTGGAAAGACATTCGATTCGAATATCAAATAAACTTTTATTGGCATTATTAAGAGATTGTTAGAAATGACTGATAAAAACAAATGAATATTTTCATTTCATTTTTTTTATCCGAATAAATTGACAATCGAGGAAAAACACAGTTTCATTCTTTTCATGATTGTTTCAACGACTGATTTGAGAAAAAAAAATCAATATGCAAATAAAATAAAAAATCGATTTAATTCTTTTTCTCGTCAATGAAATAAGTATAAGACGAAATCGAAATGATTATCAAACAATTGAAAAGTTCGTTTCTGTTTATCCTGATTGAATATTCTTGATTGTTGAGTTCAATTTGTAACGTAAATAAATAAACATATTGACATCTCTTTTTGACTTAAATTTTGTAAATAAATAAACAATTGAAGTTTTCTATTTATGTAAATAGATTGGTACTGTTGTTGATAATCCAGTTGAGTTTTACCGACGTATTCCGAAGAAACATAGAAAGAAAACAATTCTCGAAGAACTTTATAATGATAGCAAAAGTTAACAAGTATGTTTGCTTGTTTTTGTCGAAAATCAGTTAAACACTTAATTTTTCAATTTGTTTTAGATTCAGCAAAAAACGTTACGTTGAAATCAAAGAAACAAATCATCGACGTACTGCTGCTATGAAACATATGAAACGATTGAAAAATAAAAAGAAATTAGCCTTTTTGTTTATTGAGATAAATAAATCGAAGAAAAAAAGAAAGATACGAATCTTCATTATTAGTTGTTCAATTATCGAAGAAACATAAAAAAATCATATAAATTTATTTTTCCTTGATCATTTGTTGAACATTCGGCAGTCATCTAAATAACAAGATAATAAAGAAATTTTAAAATTAAAATCATTTATTTTGGAGAAATTTCGATCTCAATAAGAAAAAAAATTGTCCTAGACTCAAAATAATTCTCTTACCGCATCGGCAAGATCATTATCAAGTGGTAAATTGATTTGTCGGAATAAATAAAAAATATTTTCTCTTGTGATATAACCACTACGATCTTTATCATAACGTAAAAACATTTGTCGAATTTCTTCATGATTTGTATTATGCATATGTTTTAATTTATTACGAATTTCAGCATACAAACGTATAAAATTACCTTGTTTACGTTCTGTACGTATATTGTACTAAGACGATCATCAGGTCGATTTAATTCTTAACTTAAATGTTGTCTTAATGATTCAATGACAGCTGGAGTAAATTGATTCGGATGTTCTGCAGCATATTTTTATGCATATAAACCAGCTAAATGAATAACAAAACGTTGACGAAATACTTCAATGGTTGCACCAATATAAAAATCTGCTGGACGATAAAATTGAGGACGTTCAAGTGTAGAATCTTTAAAAATAAAAATAAAGATTGATGAAAAAATTATTAATTTCATATTTACCTGGTTTTCATACACGAGATCGTTCAAGAAATCGTCCACCAATAATACCTGTATTGCGTTGAGGTGGTTCATGAACACTGATTGTGTCATCACCAAGACGATAACTAATGATAAATTTACGTAATTTATCGTCTTCAAGGGGACTATCCTATAAAAAAAATAATATATACTACCAGCAGAAAATAGTAGATTTCTTTTTGCGTACCAAAACAGCTTCATAATGAAGTACACGATGATCATTTTCCATTAATTTCACATAATCCTTTTTCGGTCATTCAGCTTCTAGGCGTAAACAATGCTCTAATGAATCTTCCAATGAACCAAATCCAAGAGGGAAAAGCTTCTTCTCCTTTGATGAAAACATAATAACTATAGTGGAAAACTATGAGTCAAAAGAAAGACAGTGTACATTGTTATTGAATGATTCATGGAGTTCAATTTTGACTATTACAATTGATAAAATAGATATCAATTTGTCTTTGAGATCATATTCAAAGCTCAATACTTTAGTTTCATTTGAACATATTCATTGAATACAATACAAAGTACAGTATTTCAAGTTCAAATTGATCAATGTTGAAAACCGATCCTTTCTTCAATGATTTAAACCAATATGAAAATTTCATTTCGTTTTTCAATCGATTTTCGACCAAAAAATTCATCGAAAAGACCGAAAACATTTCATTCATTTTGATTGAAATTCGTTTATCTTTTCTTTTCTTATTTGAGAAAATTTTAAATAGAACTGACATTATTACTTAGGGCACACCAAAAGTACGGGCAGTGACACTTTAATACGGTAAGGTATGCTTAAATAACTTTCTTTCTATATAGTCTGATAGAGAAAAAAAAATCTATCCTTCCATGCTATTAGATCATCTTCAACTAATATCATAATATAAAATTATCTATAAAACTTATTTCGGTTGGTTATGTGCTGGTTATATGAATACTGATGAGTATTTTTCGAACAACCCCCGACGGAAACAAGACAGAGAGCTGTGGCCTCCACCACCGAAAAGAGCAGATGAGGGTGCATCGAATCGTTTATTAGAAGTTTTTTCTAATGTAATTTCTTAAGGCTTTTTATTCAACATATCAACTGGTTCGAAATTTTCGATCTCGTGTTCGCTCAATAAAAATTACATCATTCGAAAGAGCATGAAAAACTGAGTATAGTGCACTAATTTCTCGGAGAGGTACTCCCCAAGTCCCCAGCAAAAAATTAAAAAAAGCTATTCTCCAGCAGAAACAGCAACAATCTTTCGTTCTGTATATATCTTTATGAATCATCTTTTTTTTTTAGTTCTTGTATTTCCAAGATAAACATATACTGAGGACTTGTGAATCTCGCATAGCACATTAAAGGAGTCATAGATATCGAGCCTGGGATGTCCCTAACCAATCCTAAAAATGATATGTACAGCTTGTCATGATGATCAAATCATAGAGCTGCACTATTTCGAAAGGTTAAGTTTGTTGAAAACAACTGTTCAAATAGTTCAGTTTATGATGGTGAAAGCTTTGAACAGCTCATCGGGTCTGAACTAGAGCTGAACTTGTCTAGACAGGTGAGTCATCATAGCATGTGTAGACATCAAAATCATCCTAGCAAGTCCTTCCTATTAAAACTTGATTTTTACTGGTTACTGCTCAACCAATAGGACTTTGGGGCAAATATGGCTCAGATTGGAACTCTTCGCCTTGAATTACCCTAAGAAAGGCGTTTTTCCTAAAACTTGATTTCTATTGGTTAGTGCTCAACCAATAGGATTTCGAGGCAATTGGAGCTTAGATTAGAGTTCTTCGACCCAGAAAACTTCGAAGTATCATGTTTTTGATTGGAAGATGGAGCTTTAATTTTCGATCAATTAGACCGTGGACAAAAACAGAACCAATTTTCGTTTAAGTGTCTTTGTAATAGGTGACTTAAACTTCTTGTTTCCTAATGTTTTATATACTATTTTGTAGCCCGTGAAATTCTCTATCGAATGGTATGTAATAGCTGAGGTTTTGTTTGATTATGAGAGGAAAAGTTCTTTCACGAAAACCGACATAGGTCAGTAATCCAATAGAAAAATTACTATTTTTGCTATAACTCAGCAATGGCTCGACGAATCATGCTCATCTTCGAACTTGGCCTAGACATTGTTGAGACGATACTGTGTAGAAAATTTCATCAAGATCGCACTCTCCTTTCAAAAGTTATCGTATAAACGGCCGGACGAACACACTGACCGATTCTAGAGTCTACTCACTTTTTGAGTACACAAAAAGCAGATTTGCTTTACAAGGGCACATCAGCACATGATACATTTTTGTACTTTTCTCAGCAAATTCTCATTCTATAAGGCTGAAATTTTCAGGATATCTTGAGCAATCAAAGGTGCATCTATGGTATAAAATTCAGATCAAATGGCTGTAGTATGAAAGAATAATCAAAAAAATAAGGGGTACCACTTATTTCCGCCAGGGGGATATATTCATCACAGTCCAAAATAACCCAGCTTCATTTGTGGCATGAATGTCTCATACGGAATGTGTAGTATTTTCACTAGTTGACAATATACTTTTTTCATAATAATAAGATATTATTACTTATTGCCACACCTCAAGTTAAGATGCTGGCCCGCCAATGGATGAAACATAAATTTGTTCGTCATTTTCACTATCGATCGAAGAAAAAATTCATCGTATTCATGAAACAGTTCAATATTTTTCAAGAAAAGGTATCATCATATCGTAAAATAGACTTTCATTTAGCAGATCATATAGAAGATCTTATTGATGCAACTAATCAACAATATCTTGTTTAGGTAAAAAGCAGGATCTCCTACTGATCTTATTTAATTATAGCAAATGAATTTCGTGTATTATGCGTGAAAAAAAGTCAAGAATAAAGTAAAATTTAATTGTTTGAATAAAACAGACTGATCAAATACACAACACATGGATTAAAGCAATGTGATTTGATGGTAACATTGACCTGTTAGAGTAATAGTTTTCGTTCTCTCAAAAGAAAGAAAAGAATTGACTCATATAACGCACTAGAGATATTCAAAAGATGTTTCTATTTATCCGATTGATGATGATCGAAGCTTGTCTTCGTGAAAGATGAATTTTCTTTCTCGATGCTTTAATTAAAAATATATTTGGCGAATCATTTAAAAAAAAAATATTGTTCAGTTTGTTGGTGTTTTACTTTTGCTGAATTCCCGTAATGGTATTGTTGATAAATAGGTCTTTTTTTTCTTTTCTATTTATCAACATAAAACTAAATGTTCCGACAAGACAAGGAAATTAAAATTATACATTCTTACATTTATAGCTAGTATAATCGAAACAATTCTTATAAGGATGTTAATAACGAGAAAATCAAACAAGATAGCAAATCATTAAAGCGAATTTTCTCTATTCATCAAGCGGATGAAAAAGTTTCTGCTCACATATATCTCGACAGAAAAATACATGGGGGTCACTTCATTTCTCTATCAGCACACTTCATTATCTGCTGTTGAAAATGTTGCGATCACGATCATTTTAATACTTACATTTGTAATCTTGTATACTCTCTCATATAAAGTCACATTACACTAAACTAAAACAGTAGAAACATCAAATACACAGTAAGAGAATTTTTTACAATTCTCATACATTTCAGCAGTAAGCAGATTTTCCTGTGAGTATATTCGACTCAAAAAATAGTTTTTTTGTTTTCTATATTTCAGAAGTTTCACGAAATAGAAGATAAATTTTCACTCGAAATTAATAACATCACCGATGAAAATCTGAAGAGACCTTATCAATTACGAACTCACAGGGATATACATGACACTATCATTGTAGTCTCCCATCAGATGATAGCTTATTCTCGACCACCTATCAACACACGTTGCAAATGACTTTTAAAATGCGTTGCTCTGGCAGATTGACGTTTCTATCGAATCCGCACGTTCTCTTCATCACAACGAGGTTTCTGACCAGACTCGATCACTTACCTCTTGATATTCAGTATAAAACAACTTCTTTCGGTTCTGTGCAGAGCACGAAATGTAGATTGTCTTTACTCATACCGTGAATACATATTTTATACCGAGAAGAGGAATGCGTTCATACATCATAGATGTCTTACCCTGCACAACATCCAGTAAAGTTACTTATTACAACTTGCTAAGAGGTACATGATCTTGTTTGATCATAAACACGTTGCGATGATGAAAGTGTGGGATTAATGGTATCCTCGATCTGTCAGAGCAACGTTCCTTTCAACGAAATCCATGAATGGCAATGAACCTCACACTAACAACAGTTCTTTCTTTGTTAAAAGGCTTTCGTACGGCTTCCTAATCATTGATTACTCTTGTTGTCTTTATATTTCGATTCGTCCATCACATACTATATTGAATTAAAAGTCAATGATCCATTAATCCTAGAAAATTTTGTACAATTATTATCATATTATATTTTTAGGGATTTCGTTCGGTTTGAATTACTACACATAAAATAGTTCGTGATATCATCGATAAAGAATATTTAAGATTAGTTCTTGCAGATAAAATCATAAACATTAATGGCAAAAATACGTAGAGCAAGTAAACTCTTTGGACAAATGGAAAAAGATGCTGGCCAACATTGTGAAAAATGCAGTCTTGTCATTATTGATTATTAATCATTGTATTAAATTGCAATGACTGAGAAAGAAAATGCAGAATTATACGATTGACAGATATGATAGATTATTTTAAGAACGCACTGAATTCAATTATGGAAATTTATTATTGAAAAAAGAAGAAATTCGAAGAAGGCTTTTTTTAATCAAAATTGTCGAAGAACAACAAAGATCGGATGCGACTAAAACTGATAACATCAATATTAATCCTTCGCGTGATAGCTTAATATCGTGTTGCAAAAGAATGTTTAGATGATCGAGATTTTCTCGAAAAGTTTTTGGAACAGGTCAAACAGAATTCGGGATGATGTAGAAAAAAAATCAATGTCCCGAGTTTTCCTAATTCTTGCATCAAAATCTATCATACATTTTACTTAGGTCTGACCAAAAGTTCTGAGATCTTTAAATAAAAATATAAAGATAAGGGGATCTTTTTTATTTTATTTTATGAAATGTTGAGAATAGTTGTCATGATTATTTATATCAAGTTCAATTCTTTCTAACAACTTATTAAAAGTTTTTTGAACTATTTTTCGAAAAAGATTTTAGTTACCTTGGATACCGCATGAGCTAATCAT